AAGTCCAGGATACATGACAATCCGGTGTAGGTTGTCAATAGTATGCTATACCGCAGCAATATGTTCCGCGTGACCATGTTCGATAGCTGCCATATGTTCCATTAGACGAATATTAACACGCTTGACTGCCAAACTACGTAAATCTTTTGATAACCTGTGCACTGAATACATGGATCGTCTGATGCAAAATGCTTTCAATACAGTATGGTGCATAGGGTGATACCTTTTTTACAGACAAATTTGAACCCGTCATTAGATAGTAACGGAGGGGTGGAAATACAGATTAAAAAGAAAAGATAAGGTATTTCGGTGGAATGTTGAGATGGGGGACACTGCAACATGGATGAAAGTGACAATGCTGCAGAAAACAGTGATCATAACCATTACTTCTAAGAATGTATGACAGGCTTATGATTTATTCTCCAAAAGTCGAAGGAAAGTTGCGACAGGGTTAACGATATTAATATGGGTATTGCTGAAGGAGGAACACTACTGCCAGCTCCTCACAGGACTGTAATTTGCCTTGATCCCAGCTATAGCTGGCCATTCAGTGTGATAATCAGCACCAAGTGTAACTACTGTTGTTAAGATTGGTCAAACAAGTTGTTCTTGTGCGTCAAGCATTTCATTGACGACAGACCTAAGAATTTTTCTGACAAGCTACCTACTAAAATGCGCTATAAGTTTTTCAAACTTTACCTTTAATCAACTGTTTGAACGGCTAGATATGAACTTCTGCTAACTGTAAATATATTACATATTATGAAAACTATAAGATTTTAATGAACCTTTAACTCACAGGTGTTGTGTAGAATAGAAATTACTAATAATAGTACATCCAGCAAATAATAACATGAGCAGTATAACTGGAAAAAATAGCAGAAATTAAACTTACAGCTTTGCACCAATTCAACCAGAATCTCCAAAACATTTGGAGTGGCTGAGCGGAAACCATTTTGTCTACAAATGGCACAAGTTGCCAATTCCAACATCCGTCGACAGACAGTTTCGTTGTTGTTATCCATTCTAAAATCGTATACATCACACAACAGAAGGATAAATATGCAATGCACTAAGAAACATAAGTAGGAAGCTGGCTGAAAACCATTGTGAAAAATTAAAGAGAACAGAGATATCACCCGCCATTACATCTACCTGATAACCAGAAAAAATCGTCGTTAACATGTGGGTATGACCAGGCCATGACCACAATAGAAAGACTGAATGATGAACAATGAAAAAAGGTTTGAAGCCGATAGCTTTCTCTGTGAAGCCGCCGAAGATGCAATAATGAAGGCCAATGAACAGTACGACTAAATCCATTAAAGTCTGCTCCGATAAACACACAATTCACTAGAAAATACACGTAAACGAGTGTCCACTAGCAAGACAAACGCCACAGTTGGCAGGCTACGGTAGGATTCGAGAAATAATCAGCAGGTTCTCTAAGAATGCTGAAATGAATACTTATTTGTATTTATAAAACTACTGCACTAATTTTTATGCGTAACCTTCCGTGCTAGAATTTTAGCCAGATCAAATTTGTAGAAATTCCACGTTTCTGATACGGTTTTCTCCTCTCTAAGAAGGGAATGACACCACTGAGCGCTGTGCATTCGCCGATTGTAGTGTCGCGCTGTCATGGGACTGCACTTCGTGTTTCACAGTCGAAGTGAACGTCCTGGACAAAGTAGATGCTTCAGAGTCAATTTCACACAACAGAGTAGATTTCTGTTGCTGTTGCATGTTTGCATATTGATGTTCGATTTATTCATTCGTGATATGTTTCATTCAGTATGCTCGCCTAAGTTATTTCTGTGTCATCGTCATTATGGAGAATTGTGTACAGCACTAATCAGAAGGTCCGAACAGATGTTACTTTTCTTCGGCGGCTCTAAAAGACCATTGGAGTTAGTCCTAAGCCGCAGGGAACAAAGTCTACTAACACGACATTCGACCAAAGACTTGACTTATCCGGATGGCGATATAGTTGTGGGATGCATATGCATTCGTGGATCAAGCTCTGCAGCAATTTTTTCAACATAATTAATGGTTGCCTCTGAACACATAAATAACTGTATTAAATCGAGAAATCCATGAACACGAATTTATTTTTCTCACGGCTGTCTATATCCTGATGGACAGGCCAGGTTTCGCTGACCTTCTTTTCTGTGAGGGAAGAAAACGCACGGTGGAGTTCCTACTTTTGCCTACTGGACATTCCATTAATTCTCCTGTTGCGATGTAAACTACAGAATATATAAATCCGGTATATCAGTGCTTGCATCTTTCGTTGTTCAGATCCATTTGACATTCACAAACACCGAGAGGTATATTTAGAAAATATTTTTCCGGGAACCGCAGTGTTGTTCGGTAGTCAAAAGGGGCACTTAATTTATTTGATCCTGAAAAGTGAGCTTCGTGATGTTCTTCGGATGACCGTACTAAGCTTTAACATCATCGCAGATGGATTATTAGCGGTGAACTGTAGCAGTGCCGTTGCTGAAAGTCCTACAATGTTTCACATATGAAGCCCATCAAATGCTCGACGTCGTACGGCGTAAAGTTTCACTGTTTATGCTAATGTACCTCTACGTGTTCTGATTAATACGTTTAACATTTGGGTTACCTCTTCGAAGCGATTGTACGTTTGTCTACCGGAAATATCCGGCGGCCTCCAAGCTAAGCATCAGTCTTCTCTGTTCACCCACTAGATGTTTAGATGGCCGAGGAATGGACCTGATGACAATTGTATATAGGTTATGGCGTTTATTTGCAAATGCGAGTCTATTATTGCACTGACATCCAATGAAATACTATAAGGTAGGGAACGTTTCCTTAATAACTTCCTTACATAATTGTTTGTGTAGAACATAAATTGCTGGAAGACCTGTACGAGATCCATCTGGAACTCTGGCCTTTTCTCGTCTATAAAAATAAACTAATGCTTTTGAGCCTTACTTTTACAGTCACTTTCTTTTACAGACAAAAGTTTCAAATATGTTCGTATTCCGCAGTCTTCAGAAGTATTTAATTTTACCGTAATGGAAGAAGCAGAAGTTGCGAAGAAATTGCTGAATCAGAGCCACGCGATGTTCAACTACACAGATATTCCATAATTGCGAAATCAAACAATTGTGTTAAATAATAATTGAATCAGTATCTCAAATGATGCAATATTTTCACATGTCAACTCCTAATGTTAACTTGTAATACTTAAAAATTTTATTGAAATCGTCCGAAAATGCGTTTGCGTTGATCAGAAAGTATTGTATTAACATAAATTAATGAACTCCTCCTTTAAGGGAATTAATCTCTAATGATTGCTGCGAGCACTCCTAAAAATCCTAATTAAATTGAATTCGCAGCAACTGCGTGAATGTACCAACCGTAAAATTTTTTTGGCAGTAAATGGTAGGTAGTGCTGTACAGGAAAACGAAGAAGTTCATTATCATAAGCGTAAATAACACATCAACACATTTGTAAAATATGAAATACAGTGTAGCAGAGCAAGAACTCGTTATGGGTGCTGCAACAGTAAGCCCCGTGCCATCGTACGTTTTTAATAATCATTCTTTATTACAGTTATTATGACATAAAACTATGGAGCTTAGTGATACAGCGGGTGGACATCTACCTCTTTCGAAATTAGATGCTAATTCTTTAATTGTACTGCTGAAAGCGGGTCATTTCATTTAAGTTATTTTTTGGCTTTCCAAATGTTGCATATGAAGTCAACTTCACTGTATAAGATCATGAAATTTCGGATAGATTGTCACAATATGCTTATGATATATCTCTGCGCGACTTGCCACATTGCACTGTCGGTTGTTTCAGCCTCAAGGTGCTGTTAGTTTGCCTTTCTTCTAGCGGCCACAAACGGCACCTACCCTCTGATCAAGCCGTTGCTCGATAAGGGCATGGATTAACTGCACAAGATCAACAACGGGTGGATCGCGTTGTACCACGCAGCGTTCAAGTGCTATGTACCCAGAACAAGAACACAGTGAACGAGGTGGACACGGAGGGCCGCAGCGCCTTGCATCTGGCGATGTCTGAGGGTCACATTGAGGTTGCAAAGGTGTTGGTCGGTATGGGGCGGACGTAAACGGCGCCTCGTTGGATGGTCGGCCGATGCTCTCCCTGGCAGCCATGAACGAAAACCGACCCATGTGCCAGTTTCTCGTGGAACATGACGCAGACACGGTCGCCACTGATTTGAACGGTCGATCGGTGCTGCACTGTCTTGTAGCCGAGAAGCGCAATGAGATGGTCAAGCTGATGCTGGACCGTG